ATTTCTTAATTGCTTAATAAAATTTTGAGAAAATTCGTACGAATAAAGTGTGCGTAAACTTTTGGAGACCCTCTGTATATTATTATTTATTTGAATTTTTAATAGAATATATTATAATTTTTTAATTTATAATTTACGTTATAATATATAAATTTTATGAAAATAAAGATGATAATAATGATTCTGATGATAATGCTTTTTTTCAATGATGATAATAATAATTCTGAAGATGCTATTATTTTTCAAGATAATAATAATAGTTCAGATGATAATATTCTTTTCACAGATAATGATATATTTGATGATGATTTTTTTTCCAATAATAATGAGAACGAAAATGTTTTTTTTGATCAAAGCAGTAATAAAGGTTAGTATTTTTTTTATTTAATTAATTTAATTAATTTTATTATTCTATATAACTAATTAATTATGATTTTAATTAATTTAATTAATTTTATTATTCTATATAATTAATTAATTTATGGTTTTGTAGATTTTAATATTATAGATGAAATTGCTAGAGTGTTACATCTTTTTGAAATTAAAATTAGACATGATGTTACTAATGCTTCTTTTAAAGAAATTATTACTGCAGCTAATGGTACTTCTACAAGTTTATATATATTAACAAAAACACTTAAGAATCTGATCTCTCTTAATCCAATTAGAATTGATATGTGTATAAACTCATGTTGTGCCTTTACTGGTAGCTTCAAAACACTAAATCAATGCATTTATTATAAAGCTGAACATTATTAAAAAGGAAAATAAGCAAGAGCACAAGTTACTTATTTTTCTATTAAAGATCGATTTATTATTCAATATCAATATTTAACACAAGCAAATCAACTACACTATCATTCTAATTATACTATTAGAGAAGAATATAATAATATTGATAATATTATTAGTGATGTATTTAATGGTACTCAATATAAAAGTCTATTAGAAAAGGATATTTTAAAGATAAACATAATATTGCACTTTTAGGTTCTATTGATGGTTATCAGTTATTTAGACAAAAATGTGATGATTGTTGAATAGTTTTATTTATTAATGCTAATTTACTACTTGAACAACATGTAAAAAAAGAAAATTTACTTATTACTTTGATTATTCCTGATCCTAATACTCCAAAAGATTTCAATTCTTTTATAAATCCAATAGTTAAGGAATTATATTTATTAGAAGGTAATTATAATAATATAAAAATAGATTTATTTAAAATTTATAATTATAATTATTTTTAATATATAAAATTATATTAGATGGTATTGAATATTACGATAGTTTTATGAATGAAAAATTTCTTCTAAAAGCTATTATACTTTCTTAGTTTAGAAATACTCCTAGATTATCAAAACTTTCTTGTTTAACTAGTCATAATTCTTATATGGCATGTCATTATTGTGATCTTTGAGAAATATATAATAATTATGTATATTATCTAACTACACCTCAATCAGATAATTTAAATCAAGATAACCAATCATATAATTTATTAACTTTACCAATAAAAACTCATAAAGTTTTAAGAAAAGAATTAAGCAAATTAAAAAAAATACTATCATCAAGATCACATAATGAATTAGCTTCTAAATTAGGTAAAGAATATTAATATATATTTGCTTATTATAATATGATAAATATTAACTACTTTTAAATAGGTATTATTGAATGTAATATTCTTTTAGATATAAAAAAACCTGTTTTCCTTCATGTTTTCCAGTAGATATTATGTATTTATTATATGAAAATA